TGACCGTCACATTAGAACGCGCCCACTGCTGAAAGGGCGAGCATGTTTGGTGTGACGGGGATTCGAACCCGCGACCCTCAGATTGCGAGTCGAGCGCCTTATTCATCTGGCCATGGGTGTTGTCGTCTTCAGATTCCGGTGTGAGAGAACCGAAAGACTATCAACAGTTGTAACATCCTTTTGAAGTGTTGTAAGTGTACTGTTGTGTTTTTAAACCGCCTAGCGTTGGAAAGAAAATATTCGACGTTGAAATGATTCTCTCTGTGACAGGGGTTTTTTTGGAGATAGATAAGTAATTTTGGTACTACGAATGATGCTCCAACAATGGCACTCAATATTTAAATAGAATAATAAAGAAAACGGAGAGTCCGTTTATTTGTTTCAGAACTAAGCCACATTTGGCTATCTGCTGTGACCATTGCGAGGAATCGAACCCCGGATTTTATTGTTGTAAGTCTGTAAACTTCCCGTTGTCATACTGAGGAACAGAAAGAGGGAGAGTACCTTTGTTTGATGGTTGGTTGTTAAACACAAAGCTACACAATAGGCTATCTGTGCTGTACCTACGACGGGTATCGTTACCCGGTTTTCAGCGTTATAAGCCTTCAGACTTGCCGCTGGGCCACTGGGAAAGGAGACAAAGAGAGAGAGAACAAAAGCCGATGTGTAATAAGTTCTTAGAATGAACAATATCAGCTTTTCTGTTAACTGTATTCAAGATTCATGTATTATTTATCAGTTCTCAAAAACAAGAACAAGTCTTAAAGAAAGATATTAGAAACTTATGGGTTCTTTCACTGTAGTATAATGAGGTATAGCAAAGACCATATCTTACATAGAAATATCATTAGTTTTTTTATATTTTGTGAATAAGGTTGCGATAATTTCTTATTCCTCTTTCTCTGGTTTACGTACATAAATCTACATATTTAAAAATACGACTCAAATACGGAAAAAAATTACTGGAATTGAGCCAGATTTTGACTTGTTAATTTGTCGTTTATTGATGTTATATATCTTAAACGCTTATCTTATGTATATTGCGAACCGTAGTGTCAGTCCGAGCGTTTTATTTGTTACTAGGTCACGATGACTCGTGTATAAGTCACTACACCTGGTAAATAAGTGACTTACTTTACCCGAACTATTTTTTCTTTGTCGCTAGGTCACGATGACTCGTATACAAGTCACTACACCTTGTAATTAAGAGACTCACTATATCTGAATGATTTAAGTAAAATAGACCAGCAGAGACATATTTCTTTCTTCGCGACTACCAGTTTAGATAACTCTGACTATAGCTAGTAATGATGTAGTTAATTTAATCCATTACTTAAACCACTGTAATTAAACTGGAGAATGAGGAGGCAGCAATAATCTTATGCTTGATTTAATAGCTTTTGTTCTACGTAAGTGTGTAGTATTGATAGCATGATTGTAAGGAAAAGGTGTGAATATATTATATGTCGTATATCTTCTCTACAGATGTATAACAATGCATCAGATAATAGGTCTAAATGTTTTATAGGTATGTAGTATACATGCTTTACATTGTTGTTCAGTGTGTCACGTAATTTCAACAAAAGTTTGTCGTACAGTGTGTCACGTAATTAATAAAACAGTTTGTTGTACAGTGTGTCACGTAATTAATAAAACAGTTTGTTATTCAGTGTGTCATGTAACTAATAAAACTGTTTGTTGTTCAGTGTGTCACGTAACTAATAAAACAGTTTGTTGTACAGTGTGTCACGTAACTAATAAAACAGTTTGTTGTACAGTGTGTCACGTAACTAATAAAATAGTTTGTTGTACAGTGTGTCACGTAATTAATAAAACAGTTTATTGTACAGTGTGTCACGTAACTAATAAAACAGTTTGTTGTACAGCGTGTCACGTAATTAATAAAACAGTTTGTTGTACAGTGTGTCACGTAATTAATAAAACAGTTTGTTGTACAGTGTGTTACCTAATTAATAAAACAGTTTGTTGTTCAGTGTGTCACGTAACTAATAAAACAGTTTGTTGTACAGTGTGTCACGTAATTTCAATAAAACAGTTATTTCAGTAGTTTCATTTTAAACTTTAGATTGCCGACTTGTTTTTTATGCGGTGAAGTCCATATATTGAATGTAATATCTTGTAATTGGCACGATGAAATTCAACACTGGTGGTATTTTTGTTAACAGTTTCTTGGAATTGGGGATCCTGTAACCAGATAAGTTATGGACCCTCAGACAACTTGGTGTACATTATTATATTTATCAGAAGAAATTAAGCCTATTGTAGTTTTAAACACTATTCTCTTCATCTAGTTTAAAAAATATAATATTAACGCCTTATGAGAAGTATAATTATATTCATTCTTCGCCAGTTTGTAAAAGCCGTTCACAACATAACAGTTTGATGCATAGTTAAAAAAAAAAAAAAAGAGCTCAGAGACATATGGATACACCAGTGACGCTAGGGTTAATGTTTTGACTTTCTTAGGTCTAAGTATACAAACCTTACCCAGCATGGCAATCTGTGGGTCGCGGGTTCGAATCCCCGTCACACCAAACATGCTCGCCCTTTCAGCCGTAGGGGCATTATAATGTGATGCTCAATCCCACTATTCGTTGGTAAAAGAGTAGCCCAAGAGTTGGCGGTGGGTGGTGATGACTAGCTGCCTTCCCTCTAGTCTTACACTGCTAAATTATGGAAGGCTAGCGCAGATAGCCCTCGTGTAACTTTTTGCGAAATTCAAACCAAACAAACAATCTTAGCTATAAAACTCGATTTACACCTAGCAATATTTTGTCTATGAATTCCTAGTCTCTTTTTTTTCTTCTTTTTTCTGTGAATAATAAGAATTTCAATTTATTTCGTTACGTTAGGAATCTAATTCCTATCCTGACCTATAATAATGCAGTTAGTATGATACATGACTCTTCACGGCTCTCTGGTGAACAAATTGCATTACTATACATTATTTATCATTCTATACTTCTTTGTCACAAGTTTCATCTGTATTTTGTATTTTTTAAAGCGAACCTTGTTGAATCATAGAAAGGTGAGTGTATATATATATTGTATACGTTTATTTTTCCATGTCTTGGATTTGGAAAGATTAAAATTCCAGTACCACTTATCTATTTTATTATTTCGTTAAGTCACGGAATTTCGGGTGTTTCTCTACGTCCAGCTTTTTGTATTCAATTTCCGTATGTTTGTTTCATAATTTTGTGTAAATGTATGTAAGGGCTATCTGAGCATAGCCGTCCCTAATTAATAAGAGGGCATTTAATCACCAGCACCTATCGTCAAATTTTCTCTGACCGAATAATGGAATTCGATTGTCATTCTTATGTCGCGCCCACAGCCACAAAGTGCGGAGTGTATTATTATTTTTTCGGGATGCGAATCCTGATAACCACACGCCCAGATTTATTCAAGTTCTGAAAGACGTTTTTCTTTGATCAGTAAGTCTACCTTTTCATTGATGGAACCTTTCTTCTGTGCATAATGTGAGCTAATTCCCAATTTTTCTTTAAATAAACACCAGCGTAACGTAACTTTATCTGGATTTCATCCCATTATGATAAATGAAGCATTAACGGTAATTGAATCTACATCGAAATGTTTCACGCCCCGCTGGTCTTTCAAAGATTTTAAACTAACTTAAACTGTTTATGATGAAGGTCATGTTGTGTACACTGTATCGGCAATATTTTTACGTTTTTTGGGTGCGTCTTCCGTGGGTGTCGGAGACATCGCTTTGCTGTGATGCATGTCACAAGGCCACATGCGCGGTCAACATCTTTCAAGCTGGATTTTGTGTCTTAAAAGAAAATTGTTACGGATGCTGAGAGGCAGAGAAAACGATATGAAATCTCAGGCATTGCAACGAAGTTTCTTACGTTAGTTACGCTAATAACTAACTCAGTTTTACGTGTTTAAATAATGCGTGTTGCTACACGTCTGCCATAGTTCAAGGCAACGTGTTTATGGCACAAGTGATACAACAATGTTCTCACCGTCCGCTACGTCACACGTTGGTACGCTAAAACTTTACACAACTCAGATACCAGAAGACTAGTCCTGAAATGGTGCACTTCAAAAAATAAAAATACAGCGGGCAACAATAGTACATGTACGTAATGGAGTCATTTTTTTCACAAACAGGTTATCATAATTTGTTTCGTTCAGTTTTAAAGTTGAAACATTATACAGAACTTTTTAAATACAAGATAACCTAATAAAGTTGGAAGACACTCTACGTGTCATATCAGATATTCATTACGAAGATGTAAAAGCCTGAGCGGTAAGTCTATCTTTTTAGATATACATTACGAAGGTGGAAAAGCTTGAGAAGTACGCCTATCTTTTCAGATATCCATTACAAAGGTGTAAAAGCCTGAGCGGTAAGTCTATCTTTTTAGATATTCATTACGAAGATGTAAAAGCCTGAGCGGTAAGTCTGTCTTTTTAGATATTCATTACGAAGATGTAAAAGCCTGAGCGGTAAGTCTATCTTTTTAGATATACATTACGAAGATGTAAAAGCCTGAGCGGTAAGTCTATCTTTTTAGATATACATTACGAAGGTGGAAAAGCTTGAGAGGTACGCCTATCTTTTCAGATATACATTACGATGGTGGAAAAGCTTGAGAGGTAAGCCTATCTGTCAGATATCCATTACAAAGGTGTAAAACCCAGAACGGTAATTCTTTCTTATCAGATATCTTTTATAAAGATGTAAAACCCAGACCGGTAATTCTGTCTTATCAGATATCTTTTACAAAGTTGTAAAACCCAGATGGGTCTTATCAGATATATTTTACAAAGATGTAAAACCCAGATGGGTCTTATCAGATATCCATTATGATAATTCTCACAATTTGAAACATAATTTTGTTGATGTCGTGCTGAAAGTCTTGTTTTGTTTTTCTGAGAAATGATTTTACGTGTGACCATGGCTTTAGTTAAATAAAAGAAAATGCACAGAGAAGCCGTCCATTCCATGACGTTTTAATTTATAAAGTTCGATTCATAAATAAAATTTGTTTTCACAACATATTAATATACATAAAACATGCATGCCAGGAGTTGAACAACCAAACCTAATACTGAACCAAACACACACACAATTTGGTGTGCCCTGAAGAACACTCTTATTACGACAAGATGGAAAAACGATACAACCTCTGAACCAGGTGAAGACCATTACAAATAATCTTGAATATTATTACTACAAGTTAAAACTTATTAAGCCGGTTAGGATGACATTGATTAAACAATTTAACAGAAAAATAAACAAACAAAGTACTATAATTAAAACAATCCTATAAATATCCACCAGAGGGCAAACATAAGATCAATATTTTCAGAGCACATATTTATACAGATAATACGTATTATAAATATCCCCATGGAAACGTATTATCATTGTCACTATGGTAACGCATCATTACTGTCTCTATGGTAATAATAATTATTTAATTGAGCTGGTATGTCAAGAAGAAACTGACACGTCTTCATCCATGTTTGGGTTTCGTCACTTCTGGATAAAACAGACGTCGACACTGGTATTTCTTAAGGGTTGTGGCTAACAAACAGAACAGTTGATATATCACTAGTTTGCACTTTACTGTCTGAATGATCAGCATTTGTTGATTTGGTAAATAGATTTTCAAACAAATTTCTTCGCCGGATCTTGGAGGCATTTCCATAAAGTGTAAGTAGCCTTTAAGAACTTTCGCGACTTCAGAATGTACAAATTTATATTAGAACATGAGTCGTAAGTTACTGTTCGTTTTCTAATTTTTATACACATAACACTAACAAATATTTGCGCAAAATCTCAACAATTTAAAGCAACAACGTCAACACAGTCAAGCAAAGCAAGTTAAAATAAAGCACAATTTTTAACTAACCTACATTACCAATTTACTAAGGAATTGTTGAACAAAATTAATAAAACAAGTCAGAAACAGAAAACAAAAAAAAAACAACAACAAATGATTATGATGTTGGTTTGATTCGAATCACGTGTGATAATTTGTTCACGTGCAAATAACTGGAAAGTATGCAAAGTGTCGCAAAAAAGTATCTGGATTCGTTTGTTTGTTGTTTAACACAAAGCTACACAATGGGCTATCAGTACTCTGCCCACTGCGGGTATCGAAACCCAATTTTTAGCGTTATAAGCCCTCAGACTTACCGCTGAATCACAGTTTATAGATGTAGCATTGTAATAAAAAAACTGCGTGTGTTTATTTTTCTGGAAGTTCATTCCTCAATAACAGACTTAAAACTTTTACTACAGAAGATGTGTTTCGGGGGTTATTTAAATACAGAGTACCGAATATCGTGTTATGATATTTAGAAACAACAAAAGAGCTCATCTAGATACTTGTTGCGGAGGTGAACAAATTATAATGAAATTATTTGGAAATGAACAAAACCATCACACCTTTCTGTCCACGTATTATGTTATAAAACCCAGATAAACCAGAAACGATGTTAGTGAGTGTACAGATTGTTTTGTGTTTTAGAGTGTGTGGCGAAAGGCACTAGACATTTCGGATCATGTCTATTTACAGTTTAGAAACTGATGTCACACCAGGTGGAAGATGAGACCAGAATACCGTGTTACTGAATTCTTCATCATCCAGCTACTGAAACAATAAATCTGAAAATGTAATTTTTTTCTTTTCTTTTTTTAAATTAATTTGAGGTGTTGAAAATCATTATTTACATCACCTCTGGTACAGGATCATTTTATTAGATCGGAGGAAGAAAACGTGCAGTGTGTAAACAGGCTTCAAGTTCTAATGATCACAGAATGATTATGATATTGTTCTCTTCTTAACAATTGAACAATAAAAGTCAGGTATATGTACAAGTATAACTAAACCCTAACATTAAAACTTCTCGCGGCTAACCTAACTTTGAAAGAAATCCACGTCTTTCTATTACAACTGACTAATTTTTATCCAAACACAAACGTCACAACAGAGATTGAACGAAACAACAACAACGTTTCCACGCGCTTCAGCTGTCAGTTTATGAAACCGACCTTTTATATCGGAAACATTTGAAAACCTCACCTAAAGGTGTCGTCGTGAGCAAGGAACCCAGTACACGTGATAATCTCTTGTCAGTGACTTCACGCGCCTAACTACCATCTCTCTTCTACTTCATTCTCACTTGACGATATTTATCTACTGTACTGATGTTAGCAAATTTCTTGACAAATGATCGTAAATTAACTGACTTCAGGTCGACAAGGTTTTTTTTCTGTATGTTTCAAGTAACAAACGTTCAACGCTTAGCTCTATTTTGTCGAACAAAGTGCGTAAGTTATTTTCTTACGTTTCTTATTTTTAAGTTAGTCCCTTACATCATAAATACCAGTTTATTTGCACTTGGCAAGTACAGCAACACACACGAGACGAGAGCTTAAGAGAAATGCTAAATAAAAAAAATCGACATATTTCTCTAGTTTGATGCAGTTTTATTGAACTCATAAGAAATTTAATTTAGAAAATGAATATTTTATGTTTAAACTTTTGCTCCTGTTTCTGATATAAACATACAAGCCTCCCAGTGGACCACTGAAAAAATAGTTTTTAAAGCTTCTTTTTTTTTAGAAAATATAGAATAAATAACGGTTTTATAAACCAAAATACATATAAATAATTTATAATTGGCAAATAATAAACGTGAATTTATATACCCATCTGTAAAATTTCCATTATTTTGTATATAATGACAGAGATTTTATTGTTAAAGTTCCCATAATGCTGATACTGTAACCTAAATTATTCTTCTGCATCAAATATGTTACAAAATTTCATGGATCCCGTATTGGATAATTATAGTAATGTCATGGCTACATACCAAAATTCTGTAGCTACTGTTTTGGTAAAAGAATTTAGGGTTACCTTCAAATTGATAGGTTTTCAAAGGTTTCTGGCCGTTTCGAGTTGAAATAAAGATGAAAAGAGGACTACAGCGAACATAGATTTTTTTAAATGTTTCACTAGGAGGCCTGATCACACTTCTATACTACTGAACAAGGCATTTGTGTGGTGTTCTGTCTTCTACATACAACATGGGGGAAGAAAAAAACACGTAGCATATAGCTAGGTATATTCCGTGAAGATTTCTTACGTTTCCAGCTTCAATTATTTACTTCTAGCTAACACTCTTTTCCTTTCATTCTTAACGAGTTGGATGTTGGTGGTGAAAAGGAAAACAAACACTCACGTGGACAGGAAGTTAATCACTAACAGAAGGCAGTGAGTGGTGCAGTGTTCACTCAACATCGTACGATTCTCATTTTCTAAAGTTTCAAATCCATAATGGCGAGAATTGAGGTTTGGCATCATTTTGAGCGAAATAAATAAATTTGTGCTGTGAACGGAGAGCTCGCCTGTGCCTCCTAGATGTAATTCTTAGCTATCTTAAGGATGAAATTGGATACGAACTTCGTAACCCCCTAACATCTAGGCACTTACGTAAATCATGTGGATACCTGAATTCCCGCCATTTTCAAAGAATACCTCGTTATTTACATAAATTAAGAAAACATCTACATACAAACTGCACGTATCAAGAGTGGGAAATTAAAATGTTATATTATATTTTAGCACAAGTACAAAACACTAGTTTTACTCTATAAACTCAATAACTCTAGGTTAAATTACTAGTGTGAGACGTCAGCTTGATTGTCAAACCCGGAAATGACGTTAAGTTAAACTGCTAGTTTCGGATGACCGGAAGTGACGTCGAATAATCCCCACTGGCTTGGCCAGGGTTTCAATTGAAGATCTTCTTGTCAGGAATCGAATATGTAGTTTTGTTGCTGCTATCCGATTGGCAAAAGAATTGAACACAAGTACACCGTAAAGTACGTCATACTTCATATGAGAAATTGAAACATAAAGGACAGTCTCAGATGTGATATATATATCAGATTTTGTTTCTGAATATCTTTCAAGTGTTTTGTGTCGACTTCGCCAATATTTTTATATCGTGGCACCACGATAACTGTTTGTGCTGAAAGGAACTTCTTTCTAAGACAACATTTTTTGGCCCATTTGGATCACAACGAAAGTTCTGAACAGCTGTTGTATTCTTATGAGCTATGATGGGAGAATGTTGACACTCGGGTTACACTTATACTCTCAGACCCAAAGTCCCGTAGGAATAAAAACAAAAACGTAACTGAAATAATTCAACAGATTCGAAATATTTAATTGTTAAATGTTTCACGAAGTTTCCCTCGAGTCTGAATCCCTACCAGTTGTTAAACTTGGAGCGGAATCCCTTTCTGGTAGCATACCTGAGGTGCTATTGTCCCTAGAGTCAGTGTCCCTATCCGTTAAGTAAGCGTTCTGGTTGACTACGCACTTTCTCATGTGTTTTTCGAGTGTACTTGGTACCGAAAAAGGCATTCCGCAGAAGCGACATCTGTAAACATCCTTACCCATCCGACCATGAGTCTTCATGTGCCGGGTAAGTTTAGAGCTCTGTGCGCATGCGTAGCTACAGAGTTCACATTTATACGGCTTTTCCCCAGTATGAGATCGCCTATGGACCGTCAGGTTGCTACAGTTCTTGAACACTTTTCCACAGAACTCGCACGTGTCATTTCTCATTTTCTCTTTAGGTTTGGAAGGAAGGGTAGATATTGGGGTGCTGGTTCCTGGAAGATGGGACGTCACCGCCAACAAGGCACTTTCACTGGTTGATCTTTGATCAGTTTCTGAAGAGGTCACACTCCCAAGAAAAAGGTTACGGCGACTGGAATTTACAGAAGGTAGCCAAAGTCCAGCGTAGAGATTTTCTCGTTGGTGATCCCCGAGATCGAGCCTTAATCGTTTCTTGTCTTCGAAATGGCTATCAAAAGCAGGTAAAACACTTTGGCGTAGGTTAAGCGGTGGCTGACCAAGTGCATTATTGCCTTCTTCCAGGTGTGGTCGGTCCAGCCCATTTTCTGGCAGAATGGTGGATTTTCGTGGAGGAGATCTGTCCATAGGAGCAGAAGATGGTCTCTCTTTTTTAACCAAAGATCTTCCAACTCTGTTTTCTTCCAGAGCTTGCTTATAGGCTTCGTTATACTGCTGAATGTCATTAAGTCCAATTTTCTCCATAACTTCTCCCAAGAGAGACTGGCGTGCTTGAGGTATAGTGGGTTGTTCCGTGCATGAATTCTTGTCGCCGTTCTCGTTTCCACTATATGAATGTGAAGAGTTCTTCGTAGAACCTTTCGTTGTCAAGTCTTCAGCTGCTATCTCTTCAGAATCCTCTTCTAACTCTTCCTCATCTTCCAATTCTTCATTCTCGTTTTCTGCTTGCTCCTCAGATACATCTTCGTCTTCACCATCATTGTTTTGTCCACCATCTTTAGCAGTCGAATCTGGTGTGGATCTAGCCGAGCAAACACTGGCATTTTCTGCTGAATCTGGGGAACTTTTCCAGTGGGTTTTCATGTGTCGTTTGAGTTTGCTAGCTTGAGTGCAAGCATGATTACAAATGTGGCACTTAAATGGCTTCTCCCCCGTATGGGATCTACGATGTACGATCAAATTGCTTTGAAACCGAAAGGACTTTCCACAGAACTCACAAGACTTGCATCTGGACGATTCTGATTGGTCTACAGGTTTTTGAGGTGGCGTGGGTGACATAGACTGGGATAATAGCGGGGTAGAAATTGGTTGAGGCGTGCTTGATGGTGTAGAAGGGTGAGGGGAAGGCTGGTTGGAAGTCACAGGATGAGCATATGGAGAAGTAAGCTTTCGTGAAGGAGTGGGATTAGGACTTGTCGCTCCTGCTAATTGTCTGAGTCTTTGAGAATAAAAATCCAGATGTGATTCAAAACTTAAACCTATGTGAGGTGGTCGTGGTCTATCAAAACGACTTCTATCGAAAGGGTTATACGAGTCGAAGGGACTGAGACCTATTCCTCCAAGATGGTTTAGTCGGTGGTATTGGTCACTAAAGAGGTCCATTCGGAAGCCATGACTAGATGGACGGGGAAGATAATTGGGGGTGTTGAGCGCAGGGCCGAACTGTCGTTCACCCAGGGGTATTCGGGGCAGTTGTAAGTTTGGAAATGGTAGATGTTCCAAGCCAATAGAATGGGAAATTGGTTGATCTTGGCTTACTGGAGGGACAGCGAGTGGGGAAGAGGTATTCGTGGGGGAGAATGACACTGGTGTTGATCTGGAAACTTCTACTAAGGCCCTTTCTTTGTTGTTCGTCTCCACGTAGATCTTCATGCCATGTATTCTCTGAGCGTGTTGGACCAGCATCCATGCTGAGGTGAAGCTCTGCTTGCACGTTGAACACACGTGGTTACTCGGCTCTGAAAAAAAAAGAAGAGAAAAAAACCAAATGAGACCTCTATCCATAACAATTCTTTCTCTGAGGATTATTCAAATGAGCAAAGACGAATGAAGTCAGACATTACACAGGAAATTAAAACAATCCAGTGGTCATCAATGTGTCATTCATCACTGTCACGACCTCCTGTTGCGATCTGGGAGGAAGATCGAAGCTTTGCAAAGTGATGGCTGATGTCTTTAATGATGCACAGTTCTTTTCATTTCCACTGGGTATCAGTAGCTCAGAAGGGGAGGATCAGTAAAGTTCAAACTGTAAAATTGAAGGCGCACCGAGAATCTTTTCTGACTGATCCGCAGCGACGTCCAGAAGGAGCAAGAGTTCCGCTACTGACATTACTCAAATAATGGGTCATCAATCAATCTCAGACCATGGAAAAAGTATATTCACAAGGAAAAGGACCACATGTGATTTACGCCTATCCTAACTTCCGCACCAAGTGAATCGGATCGAAAACGTTTTCAAACGGCATACCTATCAGAGTGGGCAAACAAGTCTCTCTATCTCTTTTGTAAATCGACGATATCCGCCAAGCTCAGGGAAGAAAAACGTCGTGAGCCTAATTTCACAGTTAAGTATTGAATGCCAAGCAGTACGTCAGTCACGTGTTTGAACTGCGTAAAACCTATCTTTAAAACGTCTTGAGAACGACTCGAATTTAAACATTACTTGGGTCTCACCCAAACTTAAACATTACTTGGGTATATTTCTATTTGCTCTCACCTCTTAAGTATAACACAGAACACGGATAACTTCTATTTGAAGGTATACAACAATTTTAAAATGGTAGTTCGGAGGCCTACAACAATTTTAAAATGGTAGTTCGGAGGCCTACAACAATTTTGAAATGGTAGCTTGGTTTGTTTGTTTGTAATTAAGCACAAAGCTACACAATGGGCTATCTGTGCTCTGCCCACGACGGGTATCGAAACTAGGATTCTAGCGTTGTAAGTCCGCTGACATACCGCTGTGCCACTGGGGGGCTAGTAGTTTGGAGCTCTACAACAATTTTAAAATATTTACAAGAACTAACTTACATATAATTTTTTTCAGTGTTTTGGCGATAGTTGTCTTTACTATTTCTCAGGGTCGGACTCAATCTAGTGATTAGCGTGCCGAAATGGGAATTATAGGATTCGTGGTTTGTGTCCCATTGCCGCAAAATCACGCTCCGCGCTTTAGGGTCATAGGTATGCTAAAAAAGTGATAATTCGATTAAAGAAACACAACAAGGGGGCGGTGGGTGCTGTTGACTAACTTTCTTGTCTCTAGTTTATCAGTTCAAAATTATAAAAGGCTAACCCATAGGTTTTATATAGTTTTACGCTAAAAATTCGAAACAATAATTTCTTATATAATTTATTATGAAGCAAAATTTAATTTAGTATTCATCCGGAAAAGCATGATTTAGTAAAAATGTTTGAATTTTGTGCAAAGATACGAGAGAGCTATCTGCGCTAGCAGTCCCTTATTTAGCAGTGAAAGACTAGAGGGAAGGCAGCTAGTCATCACCACCCACTACCAACTCTTGGGTTACTCTTTTATCAACGAATAGTGGGACTGACCGTCGCTTTATAACGCCCCCACGGCTGAAAGGGCGAGCATGTTTGGTGGGACGCGGATTCAAACCTGCGACCCTCAGATTGCGAGTCAAGCGCCCTAACCACCTGGCTCTGCCGGCCCGAGGTAAAAAATGAACTTAAAGAATAGAATATTAAAATATATATACGTTCTCAAAATCATTACTTATGCTGTTTAATCAGTTTACAAAGTAAAAAAAAAAAAGTCTGATGTATTCCAACCAAACTTCCCTAATTAATCATATATCTTATTCAAGTAAAACAATGTTAATGGCATATTCTATAAGTAATAATACTGATTTGATAGATTTTTTTATAGACATTTATATAACAAACACAACGCCATTTTCCTTTACACATAGTTTTAAAGCAACGAAAAAATGGCCTTACAGCAAGAAGTGTGTTACTTTACGTTGCGGTCAACCACCGTCAGATAGTTGGGTGATGAAACGAAGATTTTTCAACGAAATATTTATAAAAATATTAGTCTACAAAATAAAGGAGAGAAGAGTAAACACGAGTAGAGTTATAAAGTTTACTAATTTAAGTTTCATTTTCTGTGACTGGCATAAGCAATCATGATCGAAGTGTACTGACTAGAATATACAAGATAATGATGAAAAAATTAAAACAAACAAGCTTATCAACAGCTCTTTTTAACCTTGAAAATGTCTTTTTTGCCGTGCGCTATACGACTAAGGAGAAGCCACCTTATAAGGGCTACTCAAGCGAGCGTGTTGTATAGCCATAAAAAGAAATACAACATCAGAATATAAGTAACATGGCAACGCACCCGTCATAATTAGCAGCAAACTTATTCAATACATATTATAAACAGCAGTGTCAATAATGCAATCAGGGCTTGTTTTGTTTGTTTGTTTTGTAATTTCGCGCAAAGCTACACGAGGGCTATCTGCGCTAGCTGTCCCTAATTTAGCAGTGTAAGACTAGAGGGAAGGCAGCTA